ATCAATTGAGTAATAAATTATATACTACTAAGGCAACTTTGTGATATTATACAATTAAAAATTGTAGTGGTTAATCACTGTTTATCACGATGAAAAAAAGTGGATTTTGAACGTATCGTGATATCTATAATCTATTTATCATCAGGGAATAGAATAATGACATCGATAGAAAACCACAATACAAATATCTCATAAATTTTTTTATTCTCGTATTGTATACTATTATATTAATATTCTCGCACTTATTTAATATATTAATAATTGTCTTCTTGATTAAGCTTATTAGCTATTTGTATTAGTAGGAAAATGCTCTTCATTAAAGTACAGTACGTATACACCAATAATGGTATATTTCTAAAAATTCGGTGGCTATGCGACAAGAGTTCTGAACGAGGTTCAGTATGACATTTTAATTTCTTGCCTATAACAACCGTATTTAACTTCAAAGGCGCGATATCAATTCTAATACTGTAGCTATATCGTTACTCATTTTTCAATTTCAATACTACAAATTTATGTCTTTGGCTGTCAGGTCTACTGAGTGAGTGAGAAGTTTGGCAAATATTTGATTTCGCTGAGGCAACAATTACAAGCCATACCAAACTATGCATATTAATGCTTTGACTCATAAAAAAAACAATTGAAAATTCATCCAATTTACATAAATTTTTCGTGCGTAGACGATAGGATGAATTACTCAAATGACGCTATCAATCGAAGTGCTGTAATTTTGCTTCCGGAAAGAGTGATTTAAGTTAAATACTACTATTACCTTTATAAATAATGATGTCAATCGAATATTACTCATGAAATTTTATCTTTGTAAACGTTTAATTCCTCTAGTACAAAAGTCATAACTAATGATATAATAAAGTGTGTTGAGAGCCTGACAATGAAGAAAAATGATTAAGAACCTATTTTATATTTTTTAATATTATCTATTCTTCGATACGATTAGTAGGATATATTTCGTAAAAGTACATAGTTACTTAAACGACGAGATCAATAACTTACTGAAGTATACTACTACAAATGTCAAAGCTACAGTGACAATTCATAAAACTAATTAATTTCTCACTTGGGGTGCTAAAATAATGATTCATGAACTAATACTTGGCTAGCAGGAACAATGCATCGTTATAGAAAACATTATAGCCAAATTACGGTACACAGTAACAATTACTAAATTTGCAATATCTAGATTACATAAAATCTAAATTTTAAAACTCTATGTTCAAAATAAAATCTATTTATGCTAGATTATCATTAGTCTATATCATCAACATATTATTAACTCTATAAACTATTATGTAAAAACAAAACGCTTTAGAATGCAGAGACTAATATCCTTGGACAGTAATTAAAAATAGTGTAGTGATAGCTTTAACGTTATATTTTGGAATAAAAACTGTTTGTCATTCCTTTCTGGCATTGATTAAATTATCGTAATACGATATCGAAAAAGTAATTTCAGTCTTTTTATTATAATTCTCATCGCAACAGTGAAAAAGTGAATCAACCGATAGAACATGAAGTCCATTTCTATTCGTTCGAAATTTAAAAATTATCTAATCTGTCTTTCTAATTGAATTATAGTGATTGAAAATGTATATGGTTCTAATGAGTAGATAACCAACTTTACTGCTATCTCTACAATAGCAGGTAGCGATTTAAATCAAACGTTGTCATAGATTTAAAGTCGTAATTTTTATAACAACTTAGCTATTTACTATCATCGATCTAATTACGCGGTAGCAGAGAAAGTCTTGTTCAACTTGAATCACGGTAGCCTTTAATACCCCAGTAATTCTAAATTTTCAATTACTGAGTACAGAAGATTAATGAAAAAGCGCCTTATTTAAACTAGTATTTTAATTAATCAGCTAAAGTAGTAGCCAATGTATCGTGCAACTTGTTGCATATCGGCGCTAATTTATTACGATTGATTTCAGAACAAACTGTTCCTATAGCATACATTTAATAGTAAAATTTTAGCCTATTAATTGGAGATAACATTCGCACGGTTAATAATTACAGTATTGTATTCGTAATCTTGATTTTTATTTCAATCTTCACTAATTCTACAAGTGTTTCGGGCAGATTAATCTAACAGTAGGATATCGTCTACTGCGATTCAAGAGTAGAAGAGTTATAATAATAAGCTAACAATGATCACAGTCATTGTCATGAAGTGCCATACATTAGCGGGCATTAAAAAAATAATGTTCGATAACTAGAACTTGGTTACCATTACACTAATCAAGTGAAATACGGTTAAAAAAAATTAAAATAAGAGTAAAAATGAAGCTAACTGTAGCTAAATAAATTCATGTGTGATCAATACCGATTTAAAACTATCTCTTACCAGTACGATTAAAAATAGAGACTTCATCTTGCCAACTCCATTTTTAACGATGATTACAAGAAAGAACGACGTGACTTATCGACCACTGATCGTAAAATTAAGTACACTGGCGAATTTTTCAACTACAGAATAGTAATAAGTAGTGTAAACAGCCAAGCACAGAATTGTTGAAGGTTTTAACATTGTAATCATTCGGAGATAATTTATGTTCTATCTTGCTATTGGTTCAATGATACCGCTATTTAATGAAAGATGTGAATGATTTTATTATTTTGCATTCGATTGATCGCCATTAGATCAAAAGAATAATAAACTCAAAGACCTTTTGTTTAATGATAATTTAATGTAGTTACATAAGAATAATGGTTTAGATAATTGATTCCACCCAACTCGGTCACAAACAACTTGACCTAGAGAAATATGTATAACCCCATTAAATTCTAGTATGTGGTATGTGGTATTCCAATTCTCCAAGAATTACTCTCAGGGATATGCATTAATTAATTATAATGATAATCAGAGTTAACATGATGTTGCAATCAGCTCTATAGCAATCATTAATTTGTATAATAGCTGTTTAATATTTGTGCAACATTTAGTTATATTTTTCTTTTATTTCCAATGTAGTTTCGGCGTCATTTATTTTTCACTTTATTTCGTTTTAAATTGAAATTTTCTAATGAAAAGACACTGAAACCCTATAACTATTAAATTTAAGATATAAAAGTTAGCAGCGATTTAACTACCGCAACTCACAAATAAATCAAAAGCGGCACGTCTACTTTAGGGCTTACATATTGTATTTGCATATTGTATTTTTAATGACCACTAGCAAAACTCTAAATACAGAAAATTGCTATCGCAAATAGTGTACAGTCAGGCCTCGTTAAGATCAAAAATTAATAATCAAATCCCGAATAGTTCACATACCTAATGGAATAGGTAATAAAATGATTGAAATAGAAAACAACTTGTAAAAAAAAATGAAGTAAAATAATGCATAAAAGATATTTCGTACAGAAATACGGACAATAGCGTAAGTACTTGTAATTCAATTCTCAAGTTGTTGAGTAATAAACAATTATAAAATTACGCTTTTATGATTTTTAATACTTCCCTGACGTGATAGTGTCTTGTACTCAGAATGCTATTACTTATCAGTTTTGTTTACGAGGGATGTATAGTATTCGCTTATTTATGCGCCTAACAGTCGTAATCGTTGTATGAAATACAATAGCCTATGCTATTCATGGATAGATTAAAAAAAGTAGCCTAAAGAAATTATTATTAAATGAATCCTTGTCACTCACAGCAGGAAGTATGTATATCTGTAGATAAAACCTAGGCCATTCTTAACGACAGTGACAAGAGAGACAGAATTGTTCCTGAGATTATGAAGAGCCAAGATTTACGTCATCATAACGTCAAAGTATTCAGCAGATGATTGTATCTACGGCAATAATGGCTTTTAATCATAAAATACTAAGTGCCAAGAAGTACCTTCTATAGAATGTGAACAATCCCTGAATGTGTATAGTCCTCTAAGAAAGATTTGAACGCAGGAATTTACCACTGTCGCTATATTATCATCTTTTACCCGATTGAATTGTTTGAATGAGCCTGAATTCTGTTTCATGCTACACCTCATGTCAGTATTACGATGTACGCTTTTCCTTTAACTTTTATCATTTCATGTATTGACAATTTAAAATTTTACTGCATCAATCATTCTAACTGGATTACTGCAGTAGTATTAAGTACCGTGTCAGCTAACCATACTAACATACAAACCCTGTATTGATCCCATAATTGTAGAGTATATTACTTAATCACTCCACGGTACTTACGCAGCATTCTAAATACATACAGTATCCTAGCTAACTTGATTCAATGTAACAGTTGCCATGATAAATAAATAAAGCACGTGCAATGGCAGATCCCAGAAGGTATGTAAATCATATAACGCAAATTGAACAATGAAAGCAGATAGCGTTTCAATTGTCAACATCCGAACAAAAGTTTAAAGTGAAAACACATTTACTCTGATACTAACGATGACAGAGTACTGTCATGTATGCTATATTGTATATAATAGTGTAGTCACTTACATAAAATGATTTGAAATATTGGAAAAAATTCTTATAATCATATAAAACTAGAGCATTTCAGCGAAGGGTAGATAATCTTCAATTTCTAATCAAATAACAATATAAATAATAATGCATATAAAATATAGGACATTAAAAAAATATTCATATGAGAAGATCATTAGAAAAGATCTGCAAATGGATATTAAACTAAAGTATTTAGTCATATGATTATCATATGCCATGATCGGTTAAAATTTACCTGAATCTTAATTGCCATTTCGGCTATACAAGAAGTATCGAACCAATAGTATGGCTTATATGCAAGTCTATAATCAATCTATCGACACCATTTGAATGTCGTCACATTTGAACTTAATCCGTATAGCTAATCAAAATTAATACTACTCTTCATCCTTTAACTGTTTTTACCAAATACTACTGCTGGCAAATATAGTCTGATCATTAATGGGCTTTATCAAGTGTCCCCTAAATTTCAATGTCAGATCAAATCAACATATTTAAGATGGTAAATTAAAACTAGTAAGTTCCTTGTTCCATCCAAAAAAGCTTGTTGGTAAACCTGCTGCTTGACGCTGACGAGTAGCTACGGATGTAAACGATGAAATACAATTGCCGATGAAATAATTGGCTTTACCGAGTATTAAAAGATCTGTCTGGGGTAATTTATTGTTGACGTGAACCACTTTAACCTAGAAAATATTCAATCACACAATCAAAAGTAACCGGATATAGATACTTAAAGCATCCTTGCGAAAATTTACGTAGGATGTATCATCAAGTAGATATTATAGTTACTGTCATAGCGAGTAAACATATACACATGTAACTTATCTTTAATAAATTTAAAGTAAATTTTTTATCCTTTGATACAACTATAGTTTACTACATATAATACCTTTTTCTTTTGCAAATGTTTCGTCAATTTTTCAATCATGGGGTTATGATCAGTTGCTACATAGACATACTTGGCTTTTATTTTATTCACAGCTTTCTTGACACGTTTTAGTATTTCCTTATCACTTGGAAAACATAAATCCGGGTTGACATCTTCCTTTTTTGGATATCTACCTAAGCATTGCGGCGATTCCATATAATGGCCAACCTCCATAGCTGCAGTCATTGATTTACATGCATTTTCCTGTATAAATGAAATTACGTGAAATTAAAAATGATAGAGGAAAAGTTTCAGCATAGAATATGGCATATCTAGAGTTCAATAAAAATTACCCAATCTATCCCATTTCTTAAATGAATGCCAACATAAGCACCATCTGGCATATATTGCTGAATAACTTCATCAGCTGTTTTATTCATTTCCTTGGTCCATATCAAATACCTGTGTAAAGGTCTATCAGCATCAGCTACTGGAAAGTTTGCAGGGGCACCTCGAAGCGCAAGAACAGGATGTTTCGAAGCAGGAAATCTAATATAGTGTTGAGATTACATAGATAAATTGAATGCATATCTTACACTAGCATAGCACATTACTTAAGCTAATAGATATGATTTTGACGATATCAATAGTTTGCAGGCAAATTTTCATAACTAAAACTTACGTTTCGTGCCACTGTTGTACTGATTGTGGATATGATGTATCGTACGATAAGAAGTAGCGTACATAATCATCGAAGTCAATATTGAAATGATCCCAAAAGTAGGCGAACGAATGCTCTTTAAGTTGACACTTTGCATCTGAGCTAGGAGGTAGCCAACAATAGCCTCGACGTTGACCTTTAGGCCAATATTTCGGTGCCAACTCTTTCATAAATTTTTCCATAGATATTACTCGATGAAATTTCTGTATGGTCTCTAATTCAAAAAAGTCTGTAAAAGGAATATGTACCTTTGAAAGTAAAACAGAAACACAGTGTCAAGCCTAAACACGGCCTATACAAGACCCTATATAGTAATCGAATTAAATAATACTATAAAAATTTTGTAAGGCATTTAATCATCAGAATACAAAATCAAAAGGTTATCATTAGTTCAAATTTACATCAGAGAATTTTCTCTAAAACGATCAAAGTATATCTCTACTATAATATTATCGCATAGATGAAAGCTGCAACCCATTCCATGCTACGGTAACAACTATCTAAAACGTAGCCAACAACAACTACGATACTCATTTCATTGCATAATAAGTTAAATTTGGATGTACCTCTTGACGAAAAGGAGGCAAGACTAGAGTACGATTGATGCCTTTTGCGAAGCGAAATGCACCCAAGAAGTGAGCAGCTTGATTTCCAAAACGACCTAGAATGGATTTGTAATAAACAAACTGTTATCAACTGAATTTATACTAATATCCTAGCTGCAATCACACATTAATTTTGCATTCGCATGTATAACTGACGTCATTTTCCATAACTTACAAATAAAGCTTTATTCATTGTTATATTCTAAGTTGCTCTTCATTATTAATAATTGTATAATCAGAGCTCATTAATCCTATCCAATGATTTTTAACCCTTAATGAACGCATATCCGTTCGTCTCGGCCATTGCACAAATGATGACTTAAAGGGCACAATCAACAGGCGGTCAATGAAGTTGACGAGTTTAACGATTTAGAGTTTATTAAATTAAATTTCACTATTTCATAATAAACGATCTTCATACCATAGCATAGCACAACTGATGAAAAATGATCAATCTTACTGGTCTATACCCTATAGTAATAACTCGAATGGTACTATGTACGTGAGACTGCTATTGATATA